CCCCGGCCGACGTTTGTCAGGCAGAGTTGCCTATTATTATTACATATACCCATATTTCTTGCTGTTTCAATTTTTTGTCGGTCAGTGTATATGTAGGGGCCAGAAACTATACTTCTATGCATATTTTAATATATTTGCATGTACCTAAGTAAGTAATTATAACAGTTGCATAAAAGTTGTAAATAATCGCATGTAAATTGTTAAGAATTAAAAATTTACTAATTAAATGCATCACAAACATTACCAAATATATTTAAACGTTACAGAAATTTATTAAACTGCCAATCACTGTATAGTTTACCCTATATATGCAAAACATTTTTCAGTTAAACAAGTATTTGTGAAATCAACCAGAAAAATCTTTTGCGTGTGTTGTACCTGTTAGAGAAAACAGATTTCTGCTCCACAGGGGGTCTACGTCAATAGACATGAATGAAACATGTTCCGTGAAATGCTTAAAATCTTTAATGAGTATTTGTTTGATTAATTCCGGGTCTCTTACGATTAAAACGGGTCTATAAAATTGGTATATGCCTAAAAACCTAAAAAAAAAAAAAAAAATGAAAGATAAACATAAAACTGTCCATTTTATCAGGCTAGCAAGGATACCAAGCGTACAAAAATGCTGTTCTTAAAAAAAAAATTATTATCTATTATAGGGCACAACATGCATAAAGGAAAATAGCCTATTAAATAAGTTTGGGGGGAATTAATGTCGTTAGATCGAGCATTTTTTCTCTTTTCTGTGAAATATTATGTAACAATTATTCACTAGAACTATTTAAAAATTTAGAGAAATATTTTGTAACATTGTTAATACACTCGTATGTTAAAGTTAATTTTTCAGATTTTTTTATTTAATGGAAGGCTTCTTATAGTTTTTGAATTACTTTTCCTTTACATCGCTTTAGCCATGAAAAAAAAACATATTAGACTATTAAGGGAGTAATGCAGAAAAAGTTAAAATATGGAGCAATAATATGCACCTAATAAAATAAAAGTACAACGTTTGTTTTTAAACGTATATGAAACGTTAATCTTAAGAAATTAAGTAAATAAAAAAATACAAAAAAATAATTAGAACAGAAAAATAAATAACTATAATTAGATTTTCTGATTCAACAAAAAAAAAAAATCAAAATAAAAGATACATTTTTCATATCAATAACTCAAAAGCCCAATTTTGCTAGAGCTGATGTCTGTTTGTTTTGCAACTTGGTACTCTTTTAGTCGGTTAATGTACAGGGATGTTCTTATATTTTAACTAACTATGGAGAGTTTGTTATAAGAGCTAGAATATTAGAAATTATATTTTTTCTAAACCAATTCAATTTTTTTTTTAATAACACCCTAAATATTTTTTAAATAAAGTTAAATTTTCCGTTTTCCAAAAAAAAAAATAATAATAATAACATGTCTATATTTGTTCCAACGGTTTTTGAAATTTTAGCTTAAAATATTTCAAAATTAAAAATTCAAGAATATTGCAGTAGCCATGGATTACATAACATACACATAACCATAAATTTCACAAGTAATAAAACCCTCAGTATCACTGAAGGTACCTCAAAGGTACACTGAAATAATGATTTAGTTGGAAGAAATAAATTTTATTTCAACCAAATAAATGATTTCTTTGTATTTGGCGAACTAAACATTTAATTGGGAGAATTAAGGCATTTACTTGATTAAAAGCCGAATATTTATTATTATCAATTAAATCAAAATACTTATTTGTAAGAAATGTTTCTTTCTGAACATTAAATATTTATTTGTGAACATTAAACATTTGTTTCTGAATATTAAATATTTGTTTCTGAGCATCAAATATTTATTTCTCAGGAATAAGACTTTTTTAAAGAAATTTCCGTGGATTTATTGTTGATGAATACATTAATTTCAGGAAAATTAATTCCGTTATGGTGAACAAATATTTATTTCTCAAAAACAATGAAAATTTCGTATATTCATTAATATTAAATAAATTGTTATTTTTTGTTAATAACGCTGTTTAATTTATTTATAATAAAAAAACTATTTCTACTCACTCGCACCTGCTTTGGGTATCCACCATCTTATAAATTATTTAAAGAATTTGTTAAATAAATCTCTGCGCCAAAAGGATCAGTCATAGGTTGGTTTTTTGGAGAAAAAAAAACAATCTGAACAATCCTATTGCTACGCATGGTTTGTTTAAAAAAATACGTAAACAATTTATATAGAATAGCGACTTAATACCCAAAGAAGGTTCGAAGACAAATTATACGGATACAACAAATAAATGAATATAGAAAATTAAAAACATTTCTATTCAAAAAAAATATACATAAAAAATTTTTACTTACCTGATTTATATTTACGAAACTAAAATTTGATTTATATTAAAAAATGTATGCCTCACGATTTGTTTACAGTACGATGTATTAAAAAATCAATTTTGCCAAAAAATTATAGTAGATATTTTTTTATTTTTTTCACAAGTTGTAAAGCATATCGTCGGTCCACTGCCAAAACAACGAATGTGCATTTTTCTAATTTTTCAGAAGAAGGGAAATAAAGTTCAATTTGTTGTTACAAATCCAAAGGTAATTTATTTATAGGTATAAGTTTCCTAGTATAGTAGAAAAATCGAAACCAGCAAATTTGCACATTCGATGTTTTGTCATTAAAGCAACGTTATGATAGGTATATTTGTGAAATTAAAATTTTATGTTAAAAACATGTATGCTTCAAGAATTGTTCATAATAAAACATATTCTAAAAAATGATAGGATAGATATCATATAATTTTTTATATAATTTTGCGTAGATGTAGGTACATACATAATATATCACTATCAGTATAATCAATTACTCTCATGAACTATAACTTCATAATATCTCCATAGACACGATGACGTTAAAACATACATCCATTACGTTAATTCGTCTTCCATAGGTGTTAAGGTATTCATGCTTAATAAAGTTCTGAATTTTTTTAACTAATGTGTCTTTTTAGAATCAAATTTTTTATATATAAATCTGGATTTCCATGTTAAATTTTAAGAGAAAATTCAGGAAAATTGTAAATATCAGGAAATACAGCCATTAGAACCGCTTATACCGAGTAAAAGTTTTGCATTGAATTGATGCGAGGATATAATCTTTAAAATAAAACGTAAACGAACAAGAAAAAATAATATAATGAAAATTACTGCGAAATATCTTATAGATTGTATGGTAATAATAATATAAAATAATACAGTCTATAAATAACACCTAGTTAAAAAAATAATCTATTTATTTTTATGCAAGAAGGAAAGTAATAAAAAAAGAACATTCTAAACCGATATATTTGAGTACAGATTTTCTCTTTATTCTTTTCTTATTTTGACTGTAATGTGCTTAACTGGAACTTTTCAAAAATGCCAAATAAGTGAGTTTATTATTAACTTAGAAATAGTAGTAGAAAGTTCAAATAAAGATTAATTTTCAATTTTCTTTACCGCTTGTTTATTGTAATTTTTAATTGATGTGTCAGGTTAAGGATACAGACAGACAAATGTCTGTGTTAAAGGTAAACAAAATTAAATATATGAAAAATATTTACACATATTTATTTAAAAAAATAACAAAAATAAATAACTCTGAACAAATTTTCACAACTAAACAGTTTTTGGCTAGGTTAGGTACTTTAATATGCTATGATAAACAAATTACCACGTACAAACATTAAAAACTTACATTTAAAAGTTTCTTTGAGGCTTTCCAGCCCCCATATTCTTCTAATAAACTATACATCTAACGAAAGGGACACAACATTTAACACCAAGCTCTTAATAAGCGAAAAAAGAGAACAATGGCGTCTTGTTGAATCTTGTCTAATGCGCTACCGCGGTTTCACCGGTAGAGGGCCATCATTTAGTTCTCAGAAACAAATTTATGAATGAGGAATAAATATTTTTTTTAGAATTAAATGTATTTATTTCCGCTATTAGGGTATAAACTTTAATAGTAAATATTTCTTTCTATGAAATAAATATAATGATGTAATAAATGTAGCTGATACAAATGTGTTATTCATGAGTAAATTTATTTCTTATAAATAATTATTTAATTACAAAAAATAAATACCAAGAGAATTCCTGAAATAAATCATTTAGTTTTGTCAATTAATCCAATCTTCGAAATATGCTTATTATAACAAAATAATGAAAAATAATTATTTGTCTGAATTAAATATAATGCAGAATAATAAATATTTATTAAATTGAAAAAACTAAGGCTTCTTAGTCATTTCAAGCCAGATATTTCCCTCAGTGTACCTTGTGTGGGAGGGGGCTACACATTTAGAAGTAATGAACACACACCCAATGTCCGGGTATGCTCGGATTAATTTCTGGTTTAGATACAATCCTAGCTCCTCGACCGGGGATCGAAACCGGGACTCCATTGTGAGAGGCAAGTATCCTTACCACTCGACCACGAAGCTATACAAATTAAAGAATTGATAAATAATTTGGTAAATGAAGAACAGGTAGGCTCTTGCACATGAATGAGAGGTATAAAAATATTCAAAAAAATGATTTTAAACCGGTGTTATTTTCAATACTACAAATTAAACAATATTAATTTTTATGTAGAAAATTATAACAGTAGTATGAGAGATTTTCCGCCAACTGAATTAAAATGAAAATAATAAACTTTTAATAAATTTAATAATCAAGAAAAATTTTACATATTAGCACCATGCTGATACATTTCATATAGTCCTTATCTATTTTATTAAGTGCTTTAAATAAAATTGAAATGCACTACATTTACATTATTTATATTCTCCTGGATTTTTATTTTCAGTTCACCTAAATTAAAACTTCATTCTTTGTAGACTTGCTCTTTTAACTAGCCCCACAAAAAATTATTCAAAGGGGGAAGATTGGAGCCATTTGCAGGCCACTGATAACTCAATCCACAGGTCATACCTATTATTTAAATCATTTGTAACTGGAACTACTATGAGGCGGTGATTTATCTTGATGCCAATTTATTTTATTATACTCTAGCACTGGTAAATTTTCTAAAAGGTTTTCTATTTTATTTTATAAAAAATGTAAATATACTTCTCCATTATCTATGAGTGCTAAAATAAAATTACGGATGCATTTATCTAATTGGACCAATAATTTTATTTTTAAGTATCCCACACTAATCATTAGTGGATCTACGTCCTTGTAACAGAATTTCCGGGGTTTTCAGATGTCGACATATGACTGTCGTGAATTTAGCTTCATCGCTCCACAAATTTGTTTCAAATAAATTGTATCTTGGATTTTCGTATCCAACATTTCTCTACAATATTGTACTCTACTGTACTCCTTATAAAATAATACCTGTTTAAAAATTAACATAAGACCATAAAAGTAGGTCTTCTTTAAATTTTTAAACAAGAATTATTTTATAAGGATGATATTTGTATTTATGTAGGATTGTCAAAATCCTTTTTTCTGTTTTTTTTTATATTATTATTTGCTTGTGTTCACTGTCGATTGCCTTGGATTTTCTACAAGTAATAAATAAATATGGTTTTATTTTGAGTAATATTCAAAATAATTTAAAATCTTTAATTTAAAAATATAATAATACATTTAATTTTTCTTCTTCATTTGTAACAGCTGTTCGTTTTTTTTCTTTGAAGAGTTTTTCTTTCTGTAAAACATTTCTCGACGTAATAAAATATGCTCTTGATGGAAGGTGTAATCCAGGATGTATGCTGCCGTATTCTGCTTGAGCTGCGAGCGTATACATCATTATTATTTTTGCAAAGTAAACGAATCGTTTTACATTTTTCAGCTAAAACCCATTTTGTTAAAACAACCGAAATGATTAATTTTAGCTGATAGTGCATTTTAATCAATTGTTAAATATGTCATGCGACTTTGATAACAATAATTCTAAATTTTAAAATATATTAAGTTAAGTATTTCAAAAACGGTTGAAACAAACATAGACATATTTCATATTTTTGAAAATGGAAAATTGTATTCTCTTTAAATATTTGTAACATACATAGTAGTCCTGAAGCGTGTTGGAATCTTTGATGTGAAGGTAATATTTTTTTTTGCTTTACCTGCCTCTGAAAGCATTTTATACGGGATTGTTGCAAGTGTTGAAAGTTCAATTCAATACCTGCCTGATTCCTCTAATAGATTTGTCAGAGAAGCTTGTAGAAATCAAATCTCGACAAATATTTTCACTAAAGTAAATAGAAAGTCGAAAACAAAAGACAGAACAATTATCAAACAGTTGCGTAAAAAAGATTGTTATTACTTAAAAGCTTATTAGGGCAATAAGGTTCTTGTTTTAGATAACGAGGACTATTATGAAAGGGTAGACAATCTGATTAATAATGGTTCTTATAAAAAACTTTCTAGAAATCCATTACCAAAAATGATTACTAAAGTAAAAAATGTACTTAAATACTGCAACAACCTTATTACTCCAACTTTAAGTAACAGGTTATATGTATCTAACCTAAGGGTACCTAGATTGTACTACTTGCTTAAGATACATAAACCAGGAAAGTCCGTGCGTCCTATTGTTTCAGCAATCGGATCGCCGTCTCATCACCTATCAAAATTGTTAACAGAGGAGGTCGAGAATTTACCTATTTCATCACCTAGTTTCTTTGTGATTAATTCCAATGATTTCATTAATGAGGTGAAAAATATTCAGTTGCAAGAAGATGAAATTTTGATCTCCACTGATGTTTGTTCATTGTTCCGATACCACCGACCTTGGACTACCTTAAGGATCTATTCGAATTTAACAGTCTCAGTCAAGATGTAGTAAAAAAAATCTTCATCTCACTAAACTTTGAATAAAACAAAATTGCTTTCGGCTCAATTATAATTTCTTCAAACAACATGAAGGAACAACAATGTGTAATTCTTTGGCACCATTTATTGTCAGTCTCTTCATGAACAGATTCAAGACAGAAGCAAAAGAAGAATTCGAGTATTTCCCCAGGGTTTGGCTTAGGTATGTAGATGATATTTTTGCAGTGTTTAATACATAAGTGGCTGATATTGACAACTTTATTTCCAAATTAAATAGTCGTTTCGCGTTAGTTAAATTCACATATGAAATTGAAAACTCTGGACAGCTACCATTTTTATATGTATTAATAATTAGAAATAGTGAAAATAAGTTAGAATTTGACATGTACAGTGTTAGTGTTACTAATTGGACCCCTTTCATTTTCTAATATTTTAAGATTTTTAAATGTTTCAAAGTGTATTCCTATTTAGTTTTTACGAGGATTATGAATCCATCATCAGATTTCTATTGAACTCATAATATACAGGGTGTCTAAAGGGGAACGTTGTTCTTAAATAGAACACCCTGTATATTTTTATATATTTGGATTCCCCTAGTTCCTCTGATTTCAAATATGTATTCAAGTTTGCTCTACAAATAACCGAGTTATTGATTAAAACTTAAAAAAATATATTTAACTTTATGACAATAATTGCTGGTATCTAGAACAACTTTTACATGATCGACCTGCAAGTAAAGTTATGGATAAGAAACTTAAAATTTTGCAACTATTATTAAAAGAAGTATGCTGTAAATTTACAAAAACAGCTGCCTGATAACTGTCAAATTATTAATGTATTCATACAATTGTTATTAATCGCCTGATATATTGTGATTTTAAGTGATAATAAAGTGAAAAAAATTTATTTTTCTGTGGAAGAAAGGTGCGACATATTAGAAATTTACATTTCTTACCAAAAAAATAAGGCATTAGCATGAAGAGAATTTATTCGGAAGAATCAAAATCGACTAGTACCATCCAAAAATACCTTAAAGCGGATTTATACAAAATTTATGAATAGCAATTCTCTGAAAAACTCAAATAGACAAATGGGAAAGCGTATAATTAACGAAGACATGGAATTAAATATGTTACTGTATTTTACTGACTTTCGAGATAGAGAAGAATATTCTGTCAAGAGATGATCGATAGACATAATGACGATATAAATTTTCTAAAAAATATTTTATGAACAGATAAGTCATCTTTTTCAACAGCAGGTGTATATATTAGAAAAAAACATTCACCACTGGGCCGTGAAAAATTCCCACGCCATTAGAGAAATAAGAAAACAGGAACTTTCTATTGTAAACGTTTGTGTGGTATACATCAGAATAAAATTATTGGTCCTATATTCATTGAAGGTTCTTTGACAGGGCAAAATTACCTAAATGTTGTGGAAAATAGGGTAGAAGACAATTTAGATATTAATATACCTGTCATACAACGCTGTAGCATCATATGGTAACAAAACTGGGCTCCAGCTCATAGTACCCAAGCTGTAACAAATTTTTTAAATAATCATTAGCTTTTTGGATTGATCGACATGGTCCATTATATTGGCCTGCAAAACGCCCTGACTTAAATCCATTAGATTTTTCCTTTGGGGGAGCTCTCAAAGAAGAAATCTATAAACACGGGGAATATGAAGATGTTCAATATTTAAGAAATGCAATAAGCTAAGTAGTGCATTCATTCCATGAATTTAAATAATAATCTATTTGAAAAATTACGCTTAAACTTTATCAAACGCTGCAACATCTGTATAGAAAATAATGGTGGCTATGTGGAGAATATTCTGTAAAAAAACTGTTAAAGATATTTATTTTTGTTCTCGGTTTTGTTTCTTATTCTTGTTATTCTTTTGTAGATGGTGTTTTTCTATAAATTGCACTAAATATACCTACCCAGAGCTGTCACAATTACCCATTAAAAGTAATTGAAGTACCAATTACCAATTATCAATCAAAGTAGTAAATATTTCCATTACCAATTACTTCTCATTTTACACAGTACTTCAAGTATCAATTACTCGTCGAAAATAACATTTTTTTTTTCAAGTAAAGGAATTCAATTACTTTACCTTATACTTCAATTACTCTATTTAATTGAATTACTTTGAATGTATTTGAATTACCAAAAATAATTGAAATATCGACTGAAAATAAAAGAAATTCAAATACCTACCAAAAAAGAGGCACAATGTACATGTATTTTCAAATAATTATTAGGTCATTCAAACACGTATGTAGGTAATATTCTACCAAGTTATTTTACATATATAGGTACTAAATTTAAAATAAAATTTTCAAGTCTAAAAGAAATTATTGTGTTGACAAGAAATGGTCTACACACAGACATACATACAGACAGACATTTTTTATTCGATATTTGAGTTCAACGTGAAACGCATTTCTGTGCAAAAATTTTGTTTCCACAATTATTATTAAAAAAATTTTGTCTGTGTAACTAATATTAATAGGTATTTGATTAAATCAAATAGGTAAAATAATAGATATTGCCAATATCGGAGATATATGTATAACATATATTAATATTTAAAAAAATAGTAAAGAACAAATTTATTATTTAATATTTATTTACCTTGCCAGGCA